TTTCCTCCAGCTGAGCAGCTCCAGGTGCTCCCCAAACCCCTCTGGGCTCCACCAGCTCGGCTTTGCCATCAGCAGGGAGGGGTGGGTTGGGAATTTGTGCAGAGGGTCAGAACCAGGAATTTTCTGTCGTGTCCCAGTGCTCAGGACGGCCTCTCCTGATCTCTCAGTGGCTGTTTGGTAGAGGTTGGTGCACAAATGAGCTTAGGTTTTGTGGAAATTCGATAATTTGCTTTTTAATGAGGTCTCATTCATTCAAATCAACTCCATAGCACAAACAACAGCACTTTGGGAACTCTTGAAGCTGTGTAGTCACCACTGGGCTGATTTATTTTGTTGTTTAACTGCTGATTAAATTTTACATTAAGACAGAAGCACCTTGTTTTAAATAGAAACCCTTTTTTTTTAAAACGTGGCTCACAGACTTGCCTGTTCCTTTTCCTGGCTAATTTAGAGCCACGTTGCAGACATTAGAAAGAAACACAAAACTACAGAAAAATCACATCTGTGTACTGGAAAAAGGTATTTTGGGGCACTTGCTTCTTCCAAAAATGTTTGCAGGAGATAACAAGCAGGGTTTGGGATAAGTCAGCCTTGATTTGAGGATTGACCAGAGCAGCAGCCGTGGTGAGAGGCAGAGATCTTTGCTGCTGTCTGGTGTTAGATGTGCTCACAAGGCAGAGTCCACCCACTGGCTCACAAATGGACTCTGGATAGACTGGAAATTATGGAAAATAGCAAATGTTGGCATTTCTGTTCATAAAAGAGAACTGGACAGCATTAAGTGCTGGCTGCCCTGTTGGGACAAGGCCCTGTGGGTGGAATAAGGCCTTCAAGCACGATGATGATATTTTTCCTAAAGCTTAACAGGAGAAACGGGAGTGCAGTTGATTAGATTTGTGCCGGGAACAGAGCTTTTCATCCCAATTCAGGCCACGCCGTGGGCATGAAGGGTTTCCAGGGGCTGTGCCAGGCTCTGGGACTGATGGAGGGAGCGGCCGCGGGCTCCGCGAGGGTCGCGCTGGTACCGAGCAAAGATCACAAAGATCACAAACTGCTCCTGGCCCTGCTGAGGAGGGCACCAACCCCAATCCTTGTGCCATGGGGGTGCTGCTGGTGGGGATTCCGTGGCGAGGCTCCTCTGCTGCTGCCCCTGTCCCTGGGCTCACGGGTGGGGAAGGGTGGGAGCGGCGGCCGCAGGCAGGGGCGTGCTGGGCTTGGCCTCTGCAAAGAGAAAGGGCCGGGTTCACTGTCAGCACGGATCCCACACTGCTCCCAGCTCCTCCTTCCTCCTCCCTATAAAATCTCCTGCTTGGGCATCACTGGCTGAGGCAGCAGCTGCACTACGGTGCTGGGCCCTGCGCTAGAGCCTAGCTTATAATCTTCACTGCCTGTGCTGGCAGAAGGAGATGGAAGGGATGTCTCAGGAGAGGCTGTGGGAGAGAAAAGAAACAGAATTAACGTGGACTTGGATGCTGTTCCATAGAAATCAGCAAACCATCCTACCAGCCCAGGAGAAGGAGGATCCTGGCACATCCTCCTTTCCTGGTTTGTGAGGAGGCACAGGGCGGACTGGCAGACATGGACCAGTTCTTCTTAGGAATGTCCCCCAAGTGCTTTTCAATCCTTCATCTCCTTGTCAGACAGCCTGCAGCCCCACTGTACCTCATCTACAGAGCACAGCATTTCTCTAATCTCCTTTGCTGGAAAGGGGCTTAAAAGCTAAATAAAAGCCACTTAAAATACAAGATGCCAACATTTATATAGCTGAGAAACAGCAAAATAAACTATGGGAGGTAAATGATTGTAACTGGCAGAGGGAGGGAGACTGTGAGTGCAGGACATGGTGATTACATGGCAGTGGGTGTTAAATTCCCCCTCCTGTTCCATTTTCCTTTTCCACAGCATGGTCCTACAGGGGATAAATGCCTTAACCCACACCCCAGCAGTGCCCAGGGTGATTGAAGATGGTCTCGTATTCAGGTGCTGTTGTTTGGCAGCAACCACAGGGAACTCCTGCCATAAAGAACCATCTGTCCTCTACTGTGGCATCTTCCCAGTGCTGCCAAATCCACAGAAACACTCAGTCTTGATTTCTTGCCCTTTTTTTCCAGTCTTGTGTTGTTTCAGTAACATCTCCAAACCCCCCTGGGTCATTCTACCATTAAAAATCCTAACTTTTCTTTGGAATCATGGGAAGGAGTCAGCCAGGGGGGCTGTGAGCTCTGATTCCAGTGTAACACTTAAACTCATACAAATAAACTTAAAGAACTTAACTAAACTTACATTTACTTCAATAAACTTAAAGAACATATATTTTTTTTAATAAATAAACTTTTTAAAATAAATAACATTTTAAATAAATAAATAAACTTTTTTTTTTTTTTTCTGAGCTGTGTCTGCTGCCCAATTCCTTGGCTGTGCCGGCACTAATGATGTAAATAATGTAAAAATGGGCTGTAAATAACATAAAAAGGGGGACATACGGTCTGGAGCAGTGTGGATCACAGAGGTCATGTTGCTTTGCAGGACGTGTCCTGGCAGCTGCTCCAGGTTGAGGTTGGGAGGTGCTGACTGGTACTGGAGATCAGCAGAGGTTCCTGCAAGTGGGATTGGGAAGAGACATCATTCCTTGCACAGTTCCTGACAAGTTGCTCTGGGCTAAATCTTTTCCATCCAGAGGATGTGGAAGAGCTCTGTGGGTAAAAATTGGTGGCTCATCTTTGCTTCCTTCCCCTGCTCTCAGCCTCTGGCTGTGTAGGAACACCCCCTGGGATGTCTGGGCTTCCAGCAGCTCTCCAGCTGCTCTCTCCTGCCTGGGGTGCTGCTCTTCTCCAGGTTTCCCATAAAGTTATAGCTTTTACACATCTCCAACAAAAGATGTGGTGTCTTCCTTAAATTGCCTCAGTTAGGTCAGAGGCCTAAGTTAAGTGCCACAGCACAGAGTGGGTGCTTTGCTGTGAATCTCAGATTTCCAGAGCTAGGCTGGAAAGAATGGCTCTGGGATTGGACTGGAGTGAGAAGGATCTTTCAAGCTACAATTCATCAAATGGTTTTGGCTGGAAGGGATCTTAGAGCTCATCTCATTCCAACCCACTGTCCCAGGTTCCTCCAAATCCCACCCAGCCTGGCCTTGGGCATTGCCAGGGATAGCCACAGCTGCTCTGGGCACCTGTGCCAGGGCCTCCCCATGCTCACAGAGAACATTTTTTTCTTAATATCCCACCTAAACCTTTTCTCTTTCAGCTTAAAACTCTTTCCTTCCGTTCCTCACAGAATTCATGGAATCACTGGGTTGGAAGAGACCTTAAAGATTGAGTCCAACCCAGCCCCAACACCTGAACTCAACCCTGGCAGCCAGTGCCACATCCAGGCTTTGTTAAACACACCCAGGGATGGGGACTGCACCACCTCCCTGGGCAGCCATTGCAGAACTTTATCACCTTTCTGTAAAAAACTTTTTCCTGATATCCAACCTGTATTTCCCTTGATGCAGCTCGAAGCTGTGTGCTCTGGTTCTGTCTGTTCCTGGAGAAAGATCCCAGCCCCACCTGAGCACAGCCACCTTTCAGGAGTTGTAGGGAGTGATAAGATCACCCCTGAGTCTCTTTTTCTCCAGGCTGAGCATCCCCAACCCTTTCCCTCCATCCCCCCCAGCAGACACAAACCCTCACCCAAACCCCTCCAACATCTTTGACAGCACCCAGCCTGGCTGCCCTCCCCGGGAGGGCTCTGTTACCTCCCAGCAGCATCTCCTGCAGCAAGCTGTCGATCCTGGCCACGCCGAAGAGCTTCACAAACTGCACCTGCTCGATCATCTGCCAGGTGATGCTCTGCAGGGGCGGCAGCAGCAGCAGGATGTCGCTGAAGCGGCCGCGCGAGTCGTACTGGCGGTCGTTGATGTAATCCTCCAGGTTCACCTGCACCTGGAAGCGCATGTTCTTCACCTTGCCCGCCTCGCTCAGCCCCTTGCAGTCTGCCAGAGGGGGAGATGGAGTTAATTGGTGGCCTGCGCAGGCAGATTTGGGCTTGTCAGGCAGTGTGAGAGGTGAGTAATGCGATGGTTGACTCGCACAATTAATAAGTATATCCTGTATATATGTTAAGAGAAGTTTTATAGATTTATAGTTGGTTTTTTTACCCCCTTTGTGTTGTTATTATGGGTTTGGGATATTTGGGAGGTTCACCTCGTTACCACAGCAACAGCTGACCTCTGAAAAAGATTTAAGGAAGTGATCACTACTGGACAGCAAAGAAGAAGTCAATGGACAGAACTTTGTCAGGAACTAAAGGGTTAAAATGTCACTATAGGACACGTGAAAGCACGACATGAGCCACTTGCTATTTGCAAGGTAAAGAAGGAAGTTTATTATCTGACTCCGACTTTTATACTTTTCCAAAGGTGACAGTGGATTGGAGAGTGAATGGGCCACCTCTTCAAAGACATTGGACAAACCACTAGTACATCAAGTTTCTCCACCCCCATGAAAGAATGTAAACAATATGTTGTTTACAGAAATCGTGTGGGAAAGTTCTCCAAAAGAATGTAAACTCAGAAGGCTTTAGAAAATCTTAAGAATCAGGGTGACAGTTAAAAGCCAAAACCTCCACTGTGTGGATGAGCACGTGGTGGGAAAAATCCTCTACTCCCAACACCATAATATTTTCTCAATTCAGTCTTCTGTTGTATTTTTGATAAGGTTTCAATAAACCTTTCTAAACTTTTGGAAGTGAGGATCATTTCCCACAGGCAGGCTATGTGCAGGGAAAAGGGTGAGATGGCAGTGATGCTCTGACAAGATCAGCTGGCAGGCTGGGCTGCCATTGCTTCACATGGAACAGTGAGGGGAATTGGAGGGAAAACAGTAATTGGAGGAGAAACAGTATTTTGAGGAGACTTTGAAGGGAAACTGTAAGAAAATAGGAGCTTGCTTCACATGTATGTGTCTGCCTACTGCCATCAGTGAAGGGGAAAAATTTAGAAGTTAAAATATTTATCCTTCCAAGGAAACAGCCTGGAATATTCCCCTGAAAACTTTGAGTCACAGCTGCCACCACTAAATGCAAGGAGTTTTAGTGCCTGTGTGTTGTGATTACACTCGCTGCAGCATCAGGTTCTTGTCTTGCTCTCCTGTCTTTGACCTGTGGTTAATCCTTTTTTTCAAGGACCACTGGTCCAGCTTTGCTTAAGCAAATAAATTTGTCCCTGGGTGGGGTGAAGTGCTGGCATTTACAGCCTCCTACTCCTGTCTTTGCTGCTATCTAAACCTGAGATTTCTGGATCACTGCACCGTTTCCTTCACTGTCTGCAAAGAATCCACAGGCACCGCATTTTCGGGAACATAGTGCCAAGAGATTAGATAAAGTGGTTAACAAATGATTGTGTGTCAGCACCAAGCTCTGAGGACATTCCTGCTCCTCAGCATGGATGAACTTCACTTCACACCTCCTCCTTCCAGCTGAAACCTCAGCACCTCATTGTCACATTGAGCTAGAGCTGCAGGGAGACACTGATCAGCTCAGGAGGTAATTTGTCAAAATCAACTTGATGAAAGCACCCCTCCTCTGTTCACAGCAGGCTTTGGTGAGCCAAAGTTCACCATGTTCCTGAAACTCACAGATCTTGATTTTGAATCAGTGAATACAGTAAAAAACCCCAATAATTAATGAATTATATTCTGATTTCTTCATGCTAAAAGACAAAAGGGTGTTATCTGGACTTGGGATTGTTCTCCCATCTCCAGGGAGATACCCACTGGAACCTGGGCTGAGGCAGAACCCCCTGTGCTCCTGGAATAAACACAGCAAAGCTTCAAAACAAACTGTTTTTTCTGTGTTTCCCTGTTTCCCATCCTGTGGATCAGCCCTGCCCTGGGTTGCTGCTGGCTTCCAGCAAGACCCATTAGCAGATCCCTGCTATTTCTGGGCACTCTGAGCTGCCCAGCTCTCTGTGGTTTCTGATGGGGCTCTCTGGACTCTTACGGACACTCCACATTGCTGCTTGTTTGCCTCTCTCTGCTTTTACATTATTAATGTATGCATGTATGTCCTGAATGATCATCTCCTGCATTTCAGGCTGATGGGCTTTCCCAAAGCCAAGCTCCTGCAGCAGCCAGACTCCTCCAGGGCCTGCAGAACCTTGCACATCAGCCTGGCTGGAGCTCACACTCGCTAAACAGTGTGGAACACTCAGGAATAGGTCACTTCTGCCTTAAAACCTCATTCCCGAGTTTGCTCACTACAGCACGGGCAGGCTGAGATGTAGAGCCGCTTCCAAGGGGTTTTCCTGGATTTTGGAGAGTCCCCAAGTGCTGTGCTTGGCAGTCAGAGGGAATCTCACCTGGGTCGAAGAAGATGATGGCTTTCAGGCAGGCGTACTCGTTGTCGTCGATCTGGATGTCCCGCAGGGGCTTCACCAACTCGTCCAAGATCCTGGTGGCCACACGAGCGATTTCCAGTTCTGGGCAGTGCATTGGGATGATGAAATCGTTCCCTGGGAATGAGGAATTCCCCATCAGGTTCTGGCTCTAGCTCTGGTCTCATCCAGCAGCTCCCAAAGGAGGCTTGCCTGATAGTCCCAGTGCCATTTGCAGCAATTTCCAGTCTGCAGCTTTTTAATCTGCTCCACGAGGGAGAAGCAAGCCCCAGATCTCATCCCCTGCTCCTTATTTACCTCAGCTGCATGTCAGGGCACCCACACTGCACACAGCCTGCTCCGTGTTCTGCTCTGCTTTGCCCTGTCTTACACCGAGCACCTGTTTGTAAGCAGGGCTGCATCTTTATTTTTGGTTTTCTTTTCTCACACAATGTTATCCCTCTCTCTTTCCTTTAATGTGAAGATTTTAGGGTCGGTATTCTCATTTTTCCAAAAACAATCCCATCTATGATGGCAGTGAGCTACATGAAAAAGAAACTATTTGCACTGTAATTTTTAATAGACATTTCTGCAAAGTTTCCAAGTATCTATACCCAAATACCTCATTGCCTGGGCCTTGGCAATTTCAGGTACAAAACCAAGACAACCTAGTTTGAGATGCCATTTCAATACTGGCGCTTTCTTATCCACAATTCCAAAGCAGTGAGGGAACAGTTTAAAAAATCCCAGTGAATTTACTGGTTCCTTTTTACTCCAGCACGGTGTCTCCACCCAGATGTGCAACCCAAGAGTGCAGAGGGGGTTTCAGGGATGCAGAACGCTTGGGAATGACTTGGGAGTGTGTTTCACTACTTTACCTAATAGCAGGAAATCAGTGTATGGTATGGACCTCTTGGCTACCCCGAGGAGCAGATGTTCCCCTGCGTGGGCTCTGAGCAAGGCAACCTGGAGGTGGCACAGGAGAAAGAAATAAGATTCCATTGGAAAAGCAGAGAATGGAGTGCTGAGCTGTTGCTGTCCCCTTTTGGTGTTTGCTTAGGTCTGGCAGATCTACAGATAAAGTTCTGTTCAGGGCTAGAAAATATCAGTGTATGCTCAATTTGAGAAGTGCTACATTCGTGGCAAACTAAATGGGAAGCTGTTTTAACTGAAAGAGCAAAGAGGGGCTTGAGTAATTTGAGTTCTTAGGAAATAATCAGATTCCAGTAAAGGCAAAATCAGAACTGCCTTGTAATTCAGAACTTCAGCAGTCTGACACAATCAGATTTTTTTTTTAATGGCTCTTTTGCAGGTTAGACTGACCAAATCTATATTTTGAGGGACTTGAGCTACTGCAGTTATTTTTAACTGGTCCCTCTTTCTCTCCTGCTGTTTGTAGCTCTGCATAGGGTGATCTGTTAATGCCAAATTCTCCCGTGAGAGGCCCAGCTGGGAATTCCCTTCAGAGGCACTGGATTTACCAGGGAGGGCCATTGGGCTGTACCTGGTCGTCGAGGGGGAGCTCACAAAAGGCTGGGATGTATTTTGCCCACTCCACCAGCACCAGCAGCTGCTGTTTCATGGATTCACACACGTCGTTGATGGTGGCAATCTTCTTCATGGCAATGTCTGTGCTGTGCACGGGGCTCAGGGATAAATACTGGAAGAGAAACCCATCAGACTGATCCCATCAGAGCCCTGAGATGTCCCCGTTGGGGTTGGGCACTCTGTGCTCAGCTGTGCCCGACTCGGAGCAGCTTCCACGAGGTGGTGCTCAGTCCCAGCACACACCCAGCCCTCCTCAGCCTCCTTCCCTGCTCTCCAGGACGAAATCAATGCTCCCATTCCTAGCAGCAGCCAGCAGCACGGTGTTTTAGCTTCTCACCAATCCCTCCAGCCAGCAAATGCATGAAATGCATCCAGCTTTTCTCCCCCACATTGCTGTCGGGGACACAAAACTCCCTTTTTTGATCCCTTGCGTGGCAGGGAGAGGGTTAAAACCAAGCATTTTTGAAAAGGAAGCGGGCTCATTGCTGCATGAAATGTGCAACATCTGGACCGTGTGTTTCAGTGGGGAAAGGGTATTTGCATTAGAATTTAAAGGACTCTCAGGGTGAAATTAATGGTGGAGCATGAAATAAAAAAGCAATCAGCATCAGCTGAAGCCCAGTGGATTTACTCACATTATTTTTCCTGCCCTGATAAAGAAGGTATGTGGAAAGATACAATCAACCATGACTGGAATATTATGTTCAGAGCAAGACAGAGAGTGTAGCTCTCCTTCCCTCAAGGAAGGATAAAATTCTGTGTGAATGCAGTGAGATTTTAGGGGTGCAGCAACAATTTAGGCTGGGGGAGGAGGGGACCTGGGCTCTGCTACATCCCTCAGCCCTTGGAATTCCAGTTTTCTATCTCCCACCAAAGGTCCATCTGCTCCCTGCAGGATGTATTGCCTTGATAATAGATTTTTTCCTGCCTGCTTTTGAATATTTTGCATTTTCTTCCCTGTGAGTTTGTGGAGGAACAGAAAAAACATCCAGAGCTGGTTGGTTTAGCGGGCTGGAATTGCTGAGGGCCACAGCCCCGTTTGGAGGGGCTGTCCCCACGTGTCCTACCTGCTGTGCCATGGCCTCAGCCTGAGTGAGGATGTTGATGGAGAGAGAGCCATTGTCCTCGTAGCTGCTCCTGCGGATGCTGATCCTGTCCCGCTCGTTCTGCACGGCTGGAAGGGGAGAGAGAGGTGCTGGTGTAAGTGAGAATCTCCCAAAGGCTGTTCCAGGGAGAAAATCCCATTGCTTGTGTCAGTGAGAAACTCCCAGTGCTCGTGCCAGTAAGAAAATCCCAATGGTTGTGCCAGGGAGAAAATCCCAATATTGTGTGAGTGAGAAAATCCCAGTAGTTGTGTCAGTGAGAATATCCCAAAGGCTGTGCCAGTGAGAAAATCCCAATGGTTCTGTGAGTGAGAAAATCCCAATAGTGGTGTCAGCAAGAAAAACCCAATGGTTGTGTGAGTGAGAAAATTGCAATGGTTGTGTGAAAAAATCTCAGTGGTTGTGTCAGTGAGAAAATCTCAATAGTTGTGCCAGGGAGAAAATCCCAATATTGTGTGAATGAGAAAATCCCAGTGGTTGTGCCAATGAGACACTTCCAAATGTTGTGCCAATGAGACACTCCCAGTGCTTGTGCCAGTGAGAAAATCCCAATAGTGGTGTCAAGTGAGAAAATCACAATACTTGTGCCAGAAGAAAATCCCAATGGTTGTGTGAGTGAAAAAATCCCAATACTTGTGTGAGTGAGAAAATCCCAATGGTTGTGTTAAGGAGAAAATCCCAGTAGTGGTGTCAGTGAGAAAATCCCAGGGGTTGTGCCAATGAGACACTTCCAATGGTTGTGTCAGTGAGAAAATCTCAGGGGTTGTGCCAGGGAGAAAATCCCAATATTGTGTGAGTGAGAAAATCCCAGGTGTTGTGCCAGTGAGAAAATCCCAATAGTTGTGTGTCCTGACCTGGTAAAACCAGCAACACCACAGACCTTGGACACACTGCAGGGTCTGCAGCAGAGTGAATTCAGCCCAGACCCTTTGCTGGACATGCCATGGTGAATTGGAAAAAACTCACTGATTTTTGAGGCCAATCGCACCCTTTAAACCATCCTTCCCCCTGAAGCAGGAGCCACATCCAGCCTCATGCCCCATCAGCCCTGCACGGGGAACAGTAGGCATGGATTGCACTTCAGCACTTATTTTTGCAACAATCTCTGTGAGCTGACTCACCTCCACTGCAGCCACCGAGTGAAACAGCAGCAGAGAAAAAAGGAGAATTTCAATTTAACCCAACCTGGTTTCAGTGCTGGTTTATCTCCCAAGCCCTCCTGCCTCTGTCCAGCAGCTCTGGGCTGGGGGAAGGAGCCTGAACACACTCGGTGCTGTCCTGGCAGCTGGCAGATCTTGGCTACAAACAGCTCAGAAAGGCACTTGTCCTGTCCCTGAAGCAGAGGGAGCAGGAAGATTTAGCATGTGGTGATAGTGCAGCACATCCCTCCTCCTTCTCGAAGCAATCCCAGACTCCTTTCGCTTTATTTTGGGGGAGTGACTCAAACAGAGCTGCCAAAGCACAACTCACTCTGTGCCTTAACCCCTTGGGTGCAGAACACTGTGGGTTTGTCTCAAAAGTTGCCACTGGAGAAGATTTTTCCAGCAAATTTTTCCCCTTTCTGCAGAATCAGCAGAGTTATTTTGCCATCATTCTTCTGAGTCTCTGCCTCGCTGCTGGGTGTTGTTTTAGAGCATCAGGACCCATTCCTGGCAATCCATACAAAGGAAAAACGTGAGCCCTGTTTTGCACAATTTGGGGGAAGGTTTTTCTTTCTGCCAGCTCGTGTCCATCCGCTGTTCTGTTTGTCTAACCTGCCTCTGATGAGGGGCCAACAAAGTGAAAGGGCAGAAAACAAGCCCCAGTGACAAAAATCAATGCCTCCCCTTATCGACAGGAGGGCAGGGTTTGTTTTCCAAGATCTGGGGCTCAGCCTTGCTGTCAGTCAGGGTCAGCTTGTGGGGATCTGACCCTGCAGCTCAGAGCCAGCCCTGCCTGCGAGGGGCTGCATCCATTTCTGAAAGGTGCCACACACAAACACATCCCTGGAGCATTTTCAGCCTCTACAGAGAGGCAATTTTTCATCAGTTTAGAGAAAAAAACAACACAGCTTTTGGGAGGTTTTGCTAGCCCTCCTCAGCCAGCAGCTTAAGTTGCCCTGTGCATGAGGAGAGGGTCAGCCTGGAGGTGAAGGTGCTTACAGGAGCCGTAATCTTGGCACTTCATGAGTTTTACTGGTCCACCAGAAAGGTGAGTGGCAGCATCCAGCACTCAGGAAAAACAAGCCTGACTCCATCTGTGTCATCACTGCCTGTTTGTAAAATCCCCATCCAAGCTTCTGATTTGTGCTCTCAGAATGGGCCTCTCTGCATACTGACAAGAAAAAGGAAAGTTTTGCCCTTCCAATCAAATCACACATCTGATTTTATGTAAATCCTACAATCCCAGGCAGACCTGGTCCCTATGACAGGCTCCTTTGAGAAGCCTCAGCCTGTTTTTCCCCGTAGTGTTTTTATGGCACATATTTCTGTGCTTCCCTCATGCTCTGATAAGCTCAATCTCCCAGTGTAAGTGGATGGTACAGAGTGACTTTCTCAAGGTGATTTGGGTGTTATCGCTGAAAGCACCCAAGATGTGATGGAATTAGATACAAAGGGGAGTTAATGTTTCACCTGTCACAAAAATTAATCTATTACTGCGCAGTGATTATATTGCTCTATTTATTGTGCTTGTGAAAGGGAGGGAAGGGACAGGTTACTCCTGGTGAGGTAGTGGGAGTGCTCAGGGGACGTGCTGGCCCTGGGGGTGCTGGGCTCAGGTGTGATCTTGGCTTTGCCGTCAATAAAACCTGCAGGAAGGACTAAAAACCCACTGCTGGATCCCTCTGTCTCCCAGGGGCTGCTATTTCTAGAAGTGCCTGGCAAAATCTTTGCCACCTTTTATTTTTTTTCCCCCTCTCTGCACATTCCCAAAGCCAGAAAACACCACCAAGAGCCACCCAGCCCTGCAGGAAGGGACGTCAGCACTCGTCAGCCCCCAGGATGGAGCTGGCCAGGGACAGCGTGGCCCCAGGCTGGGTTTTCCCACAGGGAAAGGGGAGAGAGGGCAGAACGATGCTGGTGTCTCCCTCCAGGGATTTGTCCCTGGCTACAGCATGTCCTGGCTGTGGGAAGAGGATGGGAAAACAAACATCTCCTCCGTGTGACGCAGGGAGCCCTCGGAAGGGTTTTGTCACTCAGAGCAAGGCTGGACACTGTGCCTCGGGCTCTGGGCAAGCAGGGTTTGTGGCATTGCAACAAGCCCCTGCTTCCCAAACTGTTTGTCCTCGCTCCTTGCCACGCAGGGCCAGAGCCTGGGATGGGGAACCTCCAGGGAGTGCAGAAAATGAGGCACGGGTGCTGGCTAGGAGAGCAGCAAACTTCCCACAGCAACTGCACAGGTGCCAGCTTTGCCTACACAAGAATACTCTTTCCATCATTATTCCACTAAAACCAGCCTCACTTAATGCTGGTGGGGCTGGAAATGTAGTGATTAATGGCATAAGGGAGCAGGAGGAGGGAGGGCCCTGCGTGGTGCACTCACCAGTGCTCACAGTGTTTCTGTCTTCACCGACAGATTTACTCCTCCTGCTGCCTGATTAATTTATATCCACAAATAATCTTTTTTTTCCTGAGCTACCTTGGATTTTATAGGTGTGGTGTGTTTTATTTGCAAATAAATCCCAATGGTACATGTACATTTAATCCTTTCATGAGCTTGTGGGCTGATTTATGACTGCTGAAGGTAGAGAAGATCCTTTATCTTTTCCATCCTTCTTTGCAATAAACTGCAGTCCCAGCATTCTGAAAGCTGGCACAAGAAATGTGTAAACAAAAGGTATGAAACTAGATAGAGGCCCTGTGAAGCACTAATAAAACTGTCCTATAAACCTGTCCAATTTCACAACAGTAAAGAAAAGCCTCAAACCCTCCCTCAAACACTCCCTCCCCCTTACTGTTGCAGAAGTAAGTGATATAACAATTCTTTTTCTTCTTCATAAAACTAAAGAAGTTCATTCACATTCATAAATTACTTTGAAGGGGATGAGAGGTTAAATATTAACCTCTCATTTTATTTTTTCCCACCAGCAAGCTGAATCCTGACAGTGCAGTGCTGGCCTTTCCAAAGGTTTCTAGGTTTTTTTCTCAGCTCCATGTGAGGAGGTGACCTGGCTCACTTGAGAAATCACACCCTGCTGATTTATCCCAGGTTAAACATGATCTCAGGGAGATGCTAAAAATAGAATCCCACTGTTTTCTTAGGGTGTTTAAGTACCTGGTGTTCTACTCAGCCACTGATGCTGCAGTGGCCAAAAACCAGTCTGGTAGCATTGTGCAAGACAATAGAAATCGAACCTTCTGAGCCAGCAGAGAAACTCAGGGGGAAAAGCCAGAAAATCCCCAAAACATCCAGCCCACCCTCTGGCACATCCCCAGCCTTAACCCCAACACAAGAATAAAGGAGTGAGTCTCCTGTAAAGATCTTAGATCCTGGTCACAGACGTGTTTAGGACATAAGAGGGTTTTTGTTCAGGCAAGGCTTTCCCTCTCCCCTTATCCTAACTTTAATGGCTGTTATTAAAGTGAATTATTGATACCAAAAATGCAGTTTGGATAGGAGTGATTCTGAGTGAGTTATTTTCTAGGAAATCTGGGAACTGGACTTTCCACAAGACTCAGGTTTTGTCCCGTCCCTGCTCTTGTTAGTGCTGATGGAACCTGGGCCCCATCTCAGTTCACAAGCCTCTTGGGGAGGGCAGTCTCGGTCCTTCCTGAAAGTAGGATCAAATTCACCCATACAAACAAGGCAATCCAAAGTTCCTACAGGTAATTTTCTCAATCATTCCCTAGGGAGCCTGTTCAGTGCCCCACAGCCCTCTGGGGGAAGAACCTTTCCCTAAGATTCAACCTAAACCTCCCCTGACACAGTCTAAATCCTACAGCCCCAGCCAGATCTGGTCACTATGTAGCTCAGGTATTTGTATTATATGGCTTTTTCTTTAGGGAGATATTTCTCTTCTACCAGGCTTGTAATTTCCTATCCACTAGAAAAGTTTCCAAAAAGAAGAAAAAAAAAAGAGAGAGAGAGAGAGAGATAAAGAAAGAAATATCCAAACGTGTCATATCACATCTTGCAACACATGAAGACTGGGGAAATAAAACCAAAAGAACAGTCCCTCTGGATCCCAAATTCCCGTTTATCAGTTAGTTCTGCCAGGGAACAGCAAGTTCTCTGAGGTTGAGCACACAGAGACTGAGCAGTGGGTCAGTGGGGCACGGCGAGGGTGACACAGCCCTGCTGACCCCACCCCAGGTGGATTGTCACAGCCAGCCTGGGAAAAGGATCTCTTCCAGCTCCTTCCCCTCTGCTGTGGATAAACAATGCCATTGCCACACCCTGGAAACTCTGCCTGCCGTTATAAGGGCTGGTCCTAAAGGAATGTGCCAGGGAAAAAGGGTTGTGCCAGTGCTGGGACACTGAGCGAGGGTGGATGGCACTGCTACCACCTCCCAACACGAGCCCCTGCACGCTCCAAAATATTTTGTACAAATATTTGGACACTCCAATAGTGCTCCATCCAAGACATGGCTTCTCCTTCTCCCTAGTGCTTCGCAATACTGTTTAATATTAATCTAGAACCACCCAAAAGCAAATAGCTGTGTTCTTTTTGTGCACACAATTGTGCAAGAAGTTTTCTTTCCCAGTCCTGCACATCTGCTCGGGATAGAGCTCCGGTCAGCTAAGCTAATTTCTGCACAGCAGTTGCTCAAGGTGCTTTAAAAGCTTCCTTGCCAAACACAGGAGCATTTTCTGAGCACACAACCTGACTGCACTCATAAAATGTTTCAAGGAATGTGACGATGTGGAACTTGTAATGAGTCATCTCCCATCAAGCTGCACTCAGTGATGGAGGCATGAGCCAATGTTTTATAACTTTTACCATAAAAACCAATAAAAATCATGCTTCAGCTCAAAGAATAGATCTGATAACAAGATTTCAGCCTTTCCAAGCAGTGCAGTTTGCTGCATTGGCAATTGGCTTTATCCCATCTACAACTGACCAAATCAGCTTATTTTTTGTCTTCATTAATTTGAGCACTACTTGTTTTTCCACCTGCTGTATTTACTCCATTTCTCCTAAATTAAGCCAGTTGGCATTTTTGCTTCATCCACAATTTATCCAAGGTTTCAAAACACCCTTCTTCTCCAGGAAAACATATGGTCAGAACATGGGAAAGATCACTTAATCACCAGTAAAATCTTATGAATTACCAGAAATCTACGGCAAATTTCCCCTTGGGTTCAGTGAGGCCACAATTCCACCCATTGGGTGAACTTGGTGACATGGAAAGAATCTTCCAAGCTCCCTCGTCTTTTAACTGCCAGTGGGTTGGGAAACAGCAGAAATGAAGGGTGAAGAGTATGAAACAGCTCAAAGGGTGAAGAGTGTGAAACCATCACCCAACAGCCTGCACCTTGGGTGGGCTGGGCCCCCAGTTTGTCAGGCACTCCATGGACAAGGACAGGATCATCCACGCTCTCCCAGTGTGCAGAACTGGGCAAGCAGAGACCAGAAGTGCTGTGGTAGATCCCAGACTTCCCCAGGGAAGCTGCATGTAGGCACAGGATGACAGAAATGTTTTTTTCCTTGCAGAGCATTAGGCACTATGACAGCATTTCCTTTAGAAAGGGCACATCCCGAGGGTCACTGGCACCCAAACCTACAGCTCTGCTCCTCCTCAATACAGACGATGGGAAGTGCCACAAAAGGTGTTGGCCAATATGCGATTGGCCCTTCAGTGCTGGTGCTGGTGGTGGCTCCACAGTCACCCTGCCACCAGCAGCATGACCAAAGGGTTTTGCTCTGAGTCATGTTCCCTGCTGTGGTACATGAGTCAGCCACGGGGAACACAAGCCACCCTGCTCCTGGAGCTCTGCCCGTGCGCCCTGGGCCACTGAGGAGAGGCTCCCACTCCTTCAGGCTCTGTGCTCAGGCTGTACCTTGTCCTTGCATGCAGCTACGTGAGCATCAGCTGAGCCAACCACACCACCTGAAGCAGCAAATTGATGGCGTTTATGAGATTGGAGGTGGCAGATCCTCATTGAGATTGGCACAGGTGGGATTAGGAGTCACATCAGTGGGTATGGAGAGAGGAAATTGCTATTGTAAAGCACTTAGAGACTAAATAAGTCCTGAGGAAGCCCATCCCTTTCCCAGGACTAAAAGACCAGCCTGATAGGATGGGTGAAAATTTTCACCGGGCTCTCATTGAAATTGAGATAAAATGGCAAACAGCTGCAACAGAAAATATCTTTCTGTGGCACACAGTCATCATCTCTCCAGCCAGTGCTGCTGCTGCTCCCCACCATGCTCTGCAGGGGAACAGGGCCTTAGACAGCAGCAGGAAGGCTGGAAATGTCTCTTTGCACCCACCTTCTTTCTTCATGCCAGCTCTGAAGCACTTCTTCAGCCTGCAGTACCTGCACTGGTTCCTCTTGTCTTTGTCTATCACACACTGTCGGTTGAACCTGGGAGGAGATGGGAAATACAACATGGAGTAACCATCTGCAACCCCCTCAGCCTGAGCAGCCTCAAATACAGCCCCAGACCTCCCTGAGCTCCACGCTGCATGATCTTAGAGAAGAGTCCAAGGTTTGCCAGAACTGGATTGAATCAACCTTGGCTTGGCCCAGCTTCTCCTCTTCCCCACCGCCGCTCCTTGCAGCTGGGACCACCCACCCTGCAGGGATTGGGATGGTTTTGGCCATGAAAACATGACTGAGACTCAAGTTGTGCTTTTGCAGGAGCTCCATCTCCCGCTTCCAGACAGTTTTTGGGTGTTCGGCGCTGGGGTTTGTCTGATTTCACTTGTTAACTATGCTACGATTTGCGTAGAAGAAAACGCGGTGTGGGCCACGAGCCCTTTGGGTCTGCAGCCTTGTGCTGAGGCCCATGGGCCTCCTAATTCTTCTTCCACTCAGTGGGGATTTAGGAACTCTTGTGCTGTTCCAGGGGTGGCCCACACAGGCTTGGCAGCTCTCCCCACAGTGGGTGAAACAATGGAAGGGGACTCTTCCATGCAGAGAAGAGATGATGTGGGTTGCTCCCAGACCATCAGGCTGTAAAAGCTGAGGCATTTTCCCAGACTGGTAAAAAGCCAAAGGTACGAAAGCCCAAAGACTTCCAGAGGAAATCATGTCTGCCATAAGCAGAGCTCCGAGCTGGGCTGAGCTCACCAAATAAGGGCTTGCACACAAGCTTGGCTTCAATGCTGTGGATCTTCCCTGAGCTGCCAAATATCGCAGAGATTTGTGGATTCCTGGGAAGAGGCAACAACTCCACTCCCAGGAGACTGACAGCTGAAATTTCAAAGAAAGAAGTAGTAGAGTTCATCTCCTGCAGGAATCCCACAGTTTATGGGATGAGCATTGTGTAGGTGGACACTGCTGTCACCTCAGGTGACATGGCTGGTGCATCCTGGAGTGATAAGGGCACCAGGAGCAAGTAGGGTGACTCACATTGGAAAAATCTGGAATGTCCTTAGAGGAGAAAAAGCTTTGGAACAGAAAGAAAACTTCCAGGTTTCAACTAGAGATGAAGGGCTTAAGTGTATTGAGATTTGGGATTTCTTTCCAATTTTTCCTGTGCTAAAATAAATATCATTTTTCTAAGGTCAATCAAGATAGCAGCTTTATAATTTATAGCCTCCTCCTGGCAAAAAATCTCTCTCAAATGTATACCCGTGTGCCAGAGTGGATGTGAATCATCTCTGGTCCACACATATTTCTCAGAATATTCATAAAATCATCACTGATAAGTCAGTGTACATAATTTATTGTATTTCAAAACAGTAATGGGGAATCTGTGAGAGGGCTTTGGAGGTGAGAGATTCTTGAATGCCTGTTGTTTTTTACTAGAAAAAGCAAGAAAGATCAAATCTCTGGAGCTTTGGTCCTTTGCCACCTTGGCTTCCCCTTGCTGGGCTGTGACAAGCTCATGGTGTCACTCCACACCCAGGGTCTGTATTTGTGTATTTTACACATCAGTCAAACCTCAGGTTCTCGGTTGGACTGGAGGATCTCAAAGATCTTTCCCAGCCTAGTTCATTCTGTAATTCTCAGGTCTGTGAGTTTCCCTCTATTTACCCCATGGGGAAAGCAGTGATGGGGAATTCACTCAATGTGTGGCACAGAGGGTCTCAGCGTCCAAATGAGATAGGACTGAGTTTAGAGTCAGGACTGAGTTTACTCCTTGTAAACCAAACTGCAGTCCTCCTGGTGGCCTTCACAGCGTGGCAACTCAGCATTTGAGACACAACCCCCTGCTGCCCACCCCGAATCATTTCCCACGTCCATCCATCGCGTTCGCTAATTGCCGAAATTGGGTACCTGCAGGAGTAGACGTGGTTCTTGCGGACGCTCCTCCTGAAGAAGCCTTTGCAGCCGTCACAGCTGGAGGCCCCGTAGTGCTTGCCGGTGGCGCGGTCCCCGCAGATGGAGCACAGGGAGCTGACACCGTTGGGGAGCAGGTTGGTGTTTGCTGACTCGGCCGCGATGGCGTCTGCGGGCAGAGAACAGGGACAGTTAGAGCTCCCTGCGATGGGAACCTCTGAATTGCACAGAATCACAGAATAACGAGGTTGGAAGAGACCTCTGAGATCATCAAGTCCAACCTATGTCCTAACACCTCAACCTGACTATAGCACCAAGTGCCACGTCCAGTCTTTTTTAAACACATCCAGAAATAGTAATTCTACCACCTCCCTGGGAGGACAATTCCAGTATTTTATTATTCTTTCAGTGAAAAAATTTTTTCCTAATATCCAACCTGTACCTTCCCTGATGTAGCTTGAGGCTGTGTCCTCCTGTTCTGTCAATGCTGTCCGGTGGAAGAGATCGACCTCACCTGTCTGCAACCTCCCTTCAGGAAGTTGTGGAGAGCAATAAGGTCACCTCTAAGCCTCCTCTTCTTCAGACTAAACAACCCCAGCTCCTTCAAACGTCCCTCACAGGGCTTGTGCTCCAAGCCCCTCACCACCTTGTTGCCCTCCTCTGGACATGCTCAGTCATCTCAACATCCTTCAGTTTATGGTCATGCCCTTCCCAAGATCAGCTCCTTTGCTTCTGGCATCGGTGTTTTCCTTCACTTGAGTGATCAGAGAGATTTCAAGCTGCATAGCCCAAACTGCTCCTGAGAATTTATCAATTATCACTGCTTTCCTGGAGAGATATCAAGAAACCTCACTTGCATGTGAGTTTTTTGGTTTTGAGGGATGCAAGCCAAGCCATCTCTTCAATGAGATACCTGGAGAACATGCTTCAAAGCTGGTCTCCAAAGAAGAAAATGGAAAAAAAGCTCATTAACTTGAATAAATAGAATGCAGAGAAGAAACAGCAGAATCAGGAAGGATGAACTTCTTCATGCCCATGACAGAGGTGCTGAAGATAAAAGACTGTTCCTGAGAGCTCCTCTGCAGCTGGAAAGCAGAGACAGCAGCTCCCACAGGGATCACTTTAGTTCTAAGTCTGGTCCCTCCTCTGAAATTCTCTCTGAAGAGGCTCACTGCTTTCCACTAGAAAGCAACAGAGGTGTTCAGGAAGATCAGATTTCTAAATTAGAGACCTAAAATTAGGTCATATGAATGCCCTCTGTCATGTCCTTCATTTGCACCCACTCATTTGGAGCAGGAATAGCTCTGCCCCTGTGTGTACACACTGCTGAAAACTCCCCTTGGAACCTCTCCCTCTGCTCTAACCACCAGACTTGCTGCCCTCTTAATCCTCCTAATTTGAGGCACAGGCTGGGGAAGGAGAAGACAGGAGACCCTTGCAAAGAAGGAAGCTGTAGGTGTTTGTATCTCCCCGTCTGTTTGCAGAGCCTGACCCGGGCACCGGCTGCAGGATGATTTTATGAATTTATCACACTGGGAGCACGTTTTGTGCTCCAGGGGAGCCCATCTTGTTCTCCAGTGACCTCAGAAAAGTCCCTGGGACAAGGCACACCCCGACACGTCTCTGGGATGGGACATCCTGACAACAGAGATGGGGAAAGCTCAGCTTAGCAGTTTCTTAGAGAAAACTACTCAAAGGGAAGGAATTGCCACCTGATCTGCCTAGAGTTTTCTAATCCGTAATGCATAAAAATAGCTCTGGGTAATCCACACACAGAATATATGTAAAAAGAGAGTGAGAGAAGGTTGTTTTTTGTGTGTGAATATATGTAAAAAAAATTATAGTGAAGGTATCTGCTGTGTAATAAAAATAACAAACAACATCACCCCCACAAAAAAACCAAACAAAAATATGAAAACAAACAAAAAAAAACCAAAGTCAACAAAGCTTTAGTTTTTCAAAAACTGGACAGTTTCTTAGTTAAGGCTGAGACTAAGATATTTTTAGCCAAGACTTCACTAATGCAAAGTTCAGACTTCCTCTCACCTCCTGAAATACCCTTTTGGTCCATGTTCACTTTCTGCTGTGTGGATGAATAAATAAGTGGGTTACAGCAAGATGGAAGCAACATGACAAGAAAGAATGGCAGCACCAAAATCATTCCCAGGTCATAACGACAGGAATTGAGATTTGCCTCTTCCCAAATTCTGTGTAAGATTCTCCCAGCCCTGACATTTGTCAGGAAGCGGCACTTGGGTCCTTTGGGAGCATTATCTATGTCAGAGGTATTGAATGGCAATTTAGGTTGATTTGCAATTATTCTTGATTTTATATTATTTAATAACTTAGTATTAAATTAACTGTACAAAATATTCCTTAGAGGATAACTGCAGAATATTTGGGCACCTGTGGTTCCATCCATTTTTTGAAGGAGCATATGACCATAAACAAATGCACTGTGTTGGTTTCCATTCTAAAAATTTGCACAACTGAAATAAAGATAAGGCAGCCAATTTCCTCTTCACTCCACTCGTGCTTTCTCTGGACTTCAGAGGAATCAAGCCAAGGTCAAACAGTTTAGGTCTCCAACAGACCCTTCATCCAGGTCCAGACTGCAAAATGTTCCTGATGCTGGAAAGCATTTACTCACCAGAAAAGACTTTGTTTCCTTTTATGTGAGTAGGAAGTGAGAATCTGCTTGCTGATATGAGGAAGAAATTAATAATCTGGCCTTCAACCAGGTGTTACTGGAGGAGGAAACATCAGCACTGTGTGTGTGAGGGCCTTTGGAAATCAGCAAACCAAATTTTGCCCTCATTTGTGTCCATGGAAGCACAAATGAATCACCAGTGAGTTGGGTGGCTCTGTGTTAGGGCAGCTCCACAGCTAAAAGCTCAAACCCTGGGAGGGAGCCACGTGTCCTTTTCAGCTGAATTGGATGAATGTGAACAGAATTTTTAATAAATAAAAGGAAATCCCTAATCCAGAATGCACGTTAATTATGATCACAATTTTTAATTACAAAATCCTGTCAGCAGCTAATGATGGGCTCCAAATGAGAATTAGCTCAGAGAAGAGCAAAGCGCAGCTGATTATCACAGGCACCAGGAGACTCTCTCAACACAGCTTTCAAACCAATATTTGGGTTTTTCCTGGCTGATCTCTGCAAGGAAAGGCAGAGGAAGGCCAGGATCCCTGGCAGCACAGTGAAATCCCCTGCCTGCCTGTGAAATCTTCTTCGTGTGCTCCATCCCTGCCTGACACAAGGAGATAACCTGAACAGCTCCTGCGCTGTGCCACGGTGCCTTTGACATCTCCACTGGAGAGATGCACTTGATTTTGCTCTCCAAGAAGGGACCACAACTCATCCTGACTCTGTGTGGCTCCCAGGCTGAGCTGAGGCTCTGCTTGTGGCCAGACCCCTCAGTGGGGCTGCCCCCAGGGTTCACAGGCAGAAATAGCTGAAGTTTTGACCATTTTTTGTGTTATATATAATCAGTGTGCAGATTGGGAGCTCCCTAAGGCTAAGAGCACCCAGTGGCTTCCCCAGATTTGGGATCAGGCAAGTTCACAACTGAAATGCACACAAATTTTTTGGTACCTACTGGCTCTGTATGTTAATCATTGTCTAACCAGGGCTGAGATGATAATGCCAGTTTTACAGTGATAAGAAATGACACTGAGGATGTTCTCATCATACCTGACCCCTGCGCTGCTTTTCCTTTCAGTTCTTTTACTGGCTACAGCTCTTCTAGATGCTCATTTTAAAAGAGAATTGTCTTGCTATACTTTCCAGGGTGGCTTTTATCTACCAGGCAATCCAAGTTTTGGTGCACATAATTTGCAGTTAACAAATCCCCAAATTACACGTGCTGGGCTAGAATGTGAAGACATCACAAGTGTGGGTTTAGGGCTTGAACACACAGAGTCAAACTCGCTGCCAAAGCCAGAATTGTGAAACCTGTACACACAAATGTAGGCCAGGAGGGGGTTTAAACCCTGGCCACGTGCAGGTCAGCCTCTTTCTACATCAGCTTTTAGCAAATAGAAGAGTTTTTGAGATATAAAACATAGCTGTGGTTTAGTGGCCCCAAATCCTACAAGAGTGATGATGAAGGTGCTGTTCCAGGTGCTGGAAGCTCGAGGGATGGTGAATCACTGCCAAAGCATCTCTGGTGGCTTTTGCATGGTCTGAACTGGGTCAGATGAAACGGGATGGGAAAGATGCCACCAGCCTCGTGCCAGAGTCCCCAGGATCAGTGTGGAGTGAGGGGTGAGGCAGGACAGTGAGCACCACCCTGGGAGAAAGCTCTCCCCAGCTCTCCAATGAAGAGTTGGGGCTGCTTGCAGCAATGCTTCACATCTCCACCAAAATGAGACAACTCTGACAGGACTGTGAGGGAATGGGCATTAACCACACATAAAAACTGAGAATATGGGCTCCCTTCACCAGCCAAGGTGAAGGAAACAAATTTGTACAGAATAGGAAAATTTCTGCTGCTGCAACATATATTTCACATAGGAAAGATAGAATTAGCAGTGATTTTTGCTCCTATCATTTTGCCAGTCTTTCTATTTAAACCTTACATATTTTTTATATCACTCCCATAAATTGTTCTATTCTTTATTTTGGATAAATCTTAAAATAATTGGCAAATTGTGGGCTATTTGAAGGTGGAAAATACAAAATACTTGTCTGGGCAAATCTCAGAATTGTAGCAGCTTCATGGAGAAACATCTAAGCACAGCAAGTGCTCCACAAATTAATCCACCCAAAATTTTGATGAAATAATGTTCTGAAGAAGGAAAGAATTGGTTTCAAGAAAGCATGACCTTATTTGAAAATATTCCAATTTTCACTTTTGGAATTGTTCAGAAGGTAAGAAACTGTGCTGAGTCCATCAAAATAAATATTGCATCGTTTCCTGTTCATGTTTATAGAGGGCAAAGCTGTCATCATTTAGTAGAGAAAATACAGATGAACATTAGGAGACATATAAGCAATCTTAAAAAAATCCAGTATAGTTATAAAAAAATACCTAAAATGAGGTTGTTTTTTGATTCTAAGAAATTTTTAAATATTTCTGAAGCCACAAGGAAACTTTGATTTTGAATTACCTCAGGGGCCTGAGGTAATTAGATTTCCATGCATGGCCATTTCAGGTATTTTTTGACATTATTTTTACAAACTGTAGAAAAGGACACTTACCCAAGACAAACAAGCTAATTTCAAAGCAGCTACTTCCCGAGAGAGCTGGTTAGTCATTAACAGCTAAACAAACAACACAATACCGAGTTCGATAAAGTTCAGAAAAAAAACTCAACCTGTCAGTTGAATCTGCGTGAATCAACAGAGAGCCCAAACAGGCATTGGTGGTTTGTTTATAAAATTATATTGAATTTTGGGGAAATTTGTGTTGCTTCAAAAATTGAAAAATATCTTGTTGTTCAATGGGATGTGACAAAGTGAAACATCTGTGTTAAAATGACATTTCTGGAGTAGGATGGGAGGTGGAAAGTTTTCTACAAGAATAAGATCCAGTCTAGCTGGAGTTTACAAAAATTATATATACTGAAAATCCTTAATTTGGGGACAGCCAGAACTTTACAGAAGGCAATTTTAAATTCAAGTTTCTTTGGGGCCTTTTAACTTCACTTGTCTCCTAACCTCCTTCCATGCTTCACAATAATAAGTCTAATCATTTTATATTGTAGGTGATATCCCTATTGAAACCCTGATTTCTTCTGATGAGCCAGTTAATGAGCAAATGTGAAAATCCCATCTTCATTTCACTAAGCTTCTTAACAAAATTAAAAGGCTGCCAATACTCTCCAATGGGATTGCTAAGGCTGGAATCTCATTCAGTTGCACGATTGGTTTCGTGCAAGATGACCAAAATGCCCTTTATTTTTACACAGCGAGCAGTTGATTTCACAGGATGGAGCTCGCTTTGTGTCAGAGTAGTTATGGCTGCAGAAAAATTAAATGCCACACAAAGCGCTTTATTCCTGCAAACCAAGCGGAAGCCTTGGCGTACAAACACTCCCATCTCCCAGCCAAGTCCTTTGTGCCCTAAAAACTGTTGGCCCATCTTGGTAGCCAGGAAAGGAATACAAAGCTAGCAGTGATTTGGATATTCCTTCTCAATCCAGGTTCCCAGGACCAACCTAAACAGCGCACACGTTCATGGACAAATGCTGTCTGGGACGACATGTTTTCCCGAGGATTAAATATCAGCTGAAGTCATATACGGGAAAGAAACACACATTTGAAGGAGAAATATTGGTAATAACTCCTCTCATATGCAATACAGCAGGACAAACCCAGGGAACGCCATGAAGACCTCTTCCAACCTCTGCAAAACCTGGTGGGCTCTTCACGGCATGACGCTCAGCCCACCAACAGAAAGAACAACCCAAAATGGGTCCGGCAAGCAAAGAGGTTGCATTTCAGCCCAAACATACACACAGTGCAACAGAGGTTGACAGGTCAGCTGCTTAAATATTACCCCTTCCACCCTTTGCCCCATACCTCCCACCAGCCTTTCCTCTGTGTTCATCTTTGCAGCAAAATTAGTGGAGCTTATTCAAGAGAAAACGAATAAAAATCTCACCGGTGTTATTGGGGAGCACGCGGAGGTTGTCGAATTCCAGCATGGTATAAGAGGAGTCCAAGGAGTCGACATAGTCTGGCATATCCATGTCCATGATGGACTGACAAAGCTTCATTATGACTTGACAACAGCGAGGGAAGTGGCAGAAACAGCCCCACTGTCAATCACGGCCAAGGTTTCCTCTGCAAAGAGAGACACCCCGGTCCCCGCGATGACAAATCATTACCCAGCCCTGCCCGCAGTCCCCTCCCCGTGCCAGGACAGAAGGGACGAGGCCAAACCCTCCGGCGCAGTCCCCTCCCTTCCCGGGGTGCATCTCGCTCGCTGGCTCCTGATAAGGTGATGTAGATAAGGCCTAGGCTCAAACGCCTTGGATTGCATCTTCGGGTCAATACAGCTGCGTTTATGGCTGCTCCTGCACAAACATTTTGAGAAGGGCTGAGGAGAGACGTCACACGCGTGTGTCACTCTCCCAGGGCAGAGCAGTGGTCATGCCCAATCATCGATTGTCACCTTGCTCGCCTACCAGCCCTTGGGGAGAGAGCACATGAGGCTCATAAGGACAATAAATCAATGTCCCACTGAGTGAAGACCACGAAGGCAGGTCAGCATCGAGAACCTGAGTCATTTCTGTGAGACTCCACAGTGCTCACACCTTGAGTTGCAGCTGGAAGGGGGAAATGAGGCTTCATTCCAGCTGTACACATGGTCTCACCCTGCTCCATAGGCAGAGGCGAGGTTGAGGAGGTGACTTCCACCCACCACCCTCCATCCCTCTCACCTGTGTTTTCCTCCCAGGGTTCCAGAGCTCCCTCCAGGGAAGAGCTGGGCTCTGCTGGTGAGTTGTCATTGTGGAAGGCTTCAAACGATGGCAAATGATGGAAATGGAAAAGGCTGGGAGGGCTGGGCGGACTCCCCCACAGATGTGTGGTGTTGCATTTCACGCTGACCCATGCCTGGCTTTTCTGGGAAAGGTCTGTACTACAGAAATTAAATTCCAGTTTTTCCCCCACAGCTCCACGGTGTTTGGTCTGGGTTTTTTGTTTGATTGTTTGTTTTCATTTACTGAATTTTACACAAACCAGCTTTTTCGATTTACTGAATTTTATACACAAGTTCTTTCCTTGTTACGACTCATGAGCTGTTCTTCAAAAAGCTGGAACTAAAAGTCAGCCATGCAAAGCTGTACAGCTTGGAGTGAGTGGTTTATTCCCACTTTGATCTTCCAGATGCCCTCCCTGACATTGCAGTTCCCTCTCCAGTGACGTGGTTTTGTGTCAGAGGGTCTTTCCTCTCCGTGAGTTCTTCTGAGAGATCCAGGTCAACATCCTGTTGAATCTGGAGCAAAAGAAGAGTCTTGAGAAACAGGGAGATGTGTTGCCAGAAAAGGAGTCTTGGCCAAAAGGATGGGATTGCCAGACTGCCTGAACTCTCATTGAACCGAGGAGCAGGCCAGCCCCAAGGATCCCAGCAATCTCCAAATAGCAAGAAATATTCAAAAATCTGAGTTTTTAACTGCTTTCATTATACTAATTTGATTTAATCCCCATTTCACTTTTTGTTTTAATATCTTTTTTTTGGTATCCTGGGGTTTTACAGTGGACATTGCAAGGGGTTAACTCTAGATAGGCTTCTCCTCTATAAAGATTGGGTGTAGAAACTTTTAGCTTTGCTTTCTTATCGTTTCTAGGGAATAAAATAATTTCATGTAGTGTATTTTCCTTTTCCTTCTTTCCCTTTTTAAGGACGTGTTGTAACCAGTGGTGCACAAATGACTCCTTGCTTAGATAAGACATTATGTTTTTATCCTTGGACTGTGCCCCAGGCTCCCAGTAATGCCAGCATCAGCTAAGTTGGGATCTGATTACTCATTCTTGCCTCTTACTCAATGTCAGGCTTGATTATGCCCATTAATCTGGTTTTTATTTTTTATTTTTTTAACTGAGCTGTGGGCACAATCCTGATTCTCAGCACTTTGCTACTATTACAGCAAGGTTTTTCATATTTCTACAATTCTAGGCTTTTGAGTTTTTGGGGTATCTTTTGGTTTTTTTAATGGATTTCTCACCATTAAAATAGCCATTTTGTTATTTATCCAGCTTTTGGGAGCTGTGGCTCAGAGAGGAGAAATCTGGGCTTCTGCCCTGATCTTGTTGGCTTTAGAGATCTCTCAGTGTTTTCCATCCCTCAGTCTGATGTGAGGGTTGAGGATAATTTCCAAGGAAATTTGTGGGATGATTATGTGCTTGGACAATTTTCATTCTGGGAACAACTAAAGGTTATAGAGCGAATTTCGTAGTTCAGGACCAGATTTCAGCACCACATCCACACTGATAATCAGGACTGACTCGTGGAGGGTGGTGTTGGAGGGACAGAACGTGGTATTTGTTCCAAACAGATGTCAGCACCCTGCTCTAAATCAGCACAAAAGCAGCCCTGAAGATGGACAAAACCTTGCTGAGGTTTGGGCAGTTTCTCCTTTTTCCTCTCCCTGCTTTCTTACATCACTTTCTGAGCCACAGCTGCAATCCAACCGGGACCTGCTCAAGGTTGAGTTTTATCAATATCAGGAGAAATCAAACTCACCCAGAGGTGTCCTCACATCTCCTGAGCAATGCTCCCTGTCACAGTGAAGTGACAACAGCCCGGCCAAGAGCCAGGAGTCTTTAGCTGGTTTCTTATTGCCTCACCATGATCCAACCTGACAGAGCAGCCAGGGAGATGGGAAGAGAGCTCAGCTCCTTCCCAGATTTTGGCCACAGAAAGGATGGATTTGAGCAGAGATTTGTGAGGTTGGCCAACACTTTGTGCTGAGACACTTCCCAGGTGCTTTCCTTGGGTGCTCAGGCATTGACTCACGTGGACAGGCATCTTAGGTGGATAACCAGGGGCAAAACTGGATGGAATAACTCAGTCTTCCCAGTTTGGAATCCTCCTCCATATGGACATAATCCTCTTTTCAATGTGTTTTCCATTTATTCCTGTGTTGACTCTGAGGCTGGATATAGCTGGAGGGTGCAGGGGAAAGGGGAGAAGGGAGAAAGAACCAGAGTTAAGTTTAATAAAAATAATGTGAGCATTCAGAGTTCGGGCTCTGGGAGTGAATCAATGTGGATTCTCCTATGTGAGGGCACAGGGCAGGCTCTGAAGAACACATGGTCCCAATAAGACAACACACTTATTCCTAGAAATAAAATTCAGGTGCTCTTGGGACACTTGTTATACAAGATGAAGTGCGGCAAAGATAAGGACACTTGGATTGATTAAGAGAGAACACAAAGTACTGTGGGCAGGGTGTCAGAAATAACATTTCTTTGGCGAGGTAAGTGCTGGGGGAAGACGTTTGCAAGCCATGGAAGCTGCACAACCATCTCTGGAGGCTGATTTTAATGGAAAGTAACTCAATGCTGCATATGGGGAGAGGTGTCTGAGAGACTAAAACTTAATGAAGGACTTGTTGGTATGCAAAATGGTGGGGCAGAAGTCACTAAATGTATTTTTGGAACTGAAGTTTTCTTCTTTTATTCATAGAAAGCCATTGAAAATCTCCTACCACTGTTTTGAAATTTTCTCTGACTGAAATGCAGTAATAATTATATTTTTGTGTACTTACAGAGTTCAGGAAAATGATTTTTATTAAGTGAGCATAAATCCATCAATGATCAGGTGGTTCTCAAAAACAACCTAGCCGTAATATTACCTACCTGGACATGTGGTGTCTGGATACAAACAATAATTTAAATACAAATCAGCAAGGCCCTTTTCTGGGTAATATATAATTAGAAACAGTGTGCTTCTGACATTATAAGCCGTGTGAAATCATATCCTTAACATGTAATTACCATGGCAGATATTTCAAATTTATCTAGACCAGAGGTTATTAAATCAGCTCCTTCCCTTCCTGGGTGCAGTTTGATATTTGTGATGCACTAAAGAGCAAAATGTTTCTTTCCACTTTTAGGTATTTCTTATTACAATGAACATTACATTTCTATATGTTGTGTCTTCCACTGTGAGGGTCTCCTTGTTCTCCCAGCTGTTATGTCCCGAAAAGATCCTGTCTGTGTAGTGATTATTTATAAATAAAAATAATTTAAGAAATTTCCCAAGTCCAATGATGGACAAAGACCTGATGGACATGGGAGAACATCACCCATCATGCAGGAGGATTGAGAGGAGAAAAAGCTAAAAAAAAATCAGGACCTTCACCTTCTTTCTCTCCAGACAAAACTATTTTCTTTACTGCTTCCAAACACCTTCATTTATCATTTACTCATTTTGTTTCAGAACAATGAGGTTAGCTCTTACATAACAACCCTTTGGAGTAACTAGAAATTTCAACAAGCTCCAGTCACTATGCTGGAAAAAAGCCTTTACAACAATTTAAACCAACAAGCAAACAAACCAGGAAAAAAACCCAAACAAAACAAAAAAAACCAAACACCAAACCATGACGGTCCCAAAACCCTACAACAACAAGAGACCAAATCAAATTAAAAAACCCTTAAAATCTCTTTCCACCAGGTTGGAATGATGGATTCTTTACACATTGTTAAGTACAAATCACCCCACTTCCAGCAGTGACTTCAGGCTGGCTAATTTGTGAAATTCCCAGTTATTTCACCAAATGTTCAGCACAGATGAAACCTGACTTGGATTTGGGGAATAACTCTAAGATGTTTTACATTTTTCTGGTGACCAAAGGTCAGGCTGATGACTTGTTCTTTCTGAGTTCACTTAACTTTTGTTCTTGGCTGCAGAGCACTTGGCCAAGGCTGGAATTTCAGAAGCACAAAGGGCTCCCTTTGATTTCCAAATGTGAGGCAGCCTGAATTTCAGCTCTGTTGAGAAACGGGAGCTCCCGTTGGGAATAACTGGATTTGCTAAGAAATAGCCACAGATTTAGAAATGAATCCCCTTTTTTGGACACCTGAGTGAAATCTGATTAAAACCTCACTTCTCTTACATGAGGTCCAAGATCTTTTAAAAACCTGTCCCTGCCTGGCAAATGCTGCATGGCCAACACCTGGTGCCTTCATGCACCAGTTGGAGTTTCTCTTCTTTGTTTTCCATAAGCAGAATTAAATTCTCAGAAATAAGAAACACCTTATTTTTGGAAAAAAAAAATCCTTATTTTTGAAAAAAAAAAAAAAATCCTCACATTAACAAATACTTCTATCAGTGGGTATTCCTTGAGGATATTTCAGAGGACTTCTTGTCTCTTTTCCTT